GGGGCAGGCGGAAATCGAACTCATGCGGAAGTGGCTTTAGCTTCTCAGTGCAGTGCTTTAACCCGCTGCGCCACCAGGCAGGGACTGCTTTCGTATTTTAGGGAGAGACACGCTTCACTAATCCCCGAGTTTTAAATTGGCATAAGCAAATCCTGGAGTACCATCCAGCACTGTATGTGTGTGCTGTTCAGCTCTGGCCAGAAGCATCTCCAGGGACTCTTCTGGAAAGTAAAGGGCCTGTAGTGTTCCCCTCCCGAGTGCCGTACAGGCCGCGGTGTTAGAACGAGCCCTCCCTGTGTAGTGATGGCTTCCTTAGGATCTGGCGTCGGGTTCAGTTACTGCTCGGTCCTTTCCTCTCAGCAGAGTTCAGAGCATAGCTGTCTTTAGATACGTGCTCCCTAAGGACTTGTCTCTTGGTGTTCCCAGGTCTTTGTCTGATGTTGCTGAGAAACACAACGAAAAGAACAAAGAAGGTACTTCCTTTTTTTTTTTTTTTAATCAAATTCAAAGTCATTGGAAATGACGGATGAAAAGATGCAACAACTGTGGGCAACTTTGAAAAATATACATGTGGACAAATGTACCTCAGGCCAGGGTCTTTGTGTTTCAGGGTCATTGTTACCTGAAGGTCAGGCTAGCCTACTGCGACTCTCCGGGGACCTCCTGCCCTGTGAGGGCCGGGCTGCCGCTTCAGCCCCAGACCACTCGGTAGCCGTGTCCTCAGGCCGTGAGCTGGCCGGCCGTGGAGTGACTCCACCATCTTGTCCACCTAGCGCCTTGGCCTTGCCCACGCTGGTCCCCTGCCTGACATGCCTTTTCTTTCCTCGCCCCCAGCTCCTTCAGCAAATCTGTCTTCATTCTTAGATGCCGCGTAAGGGCCTTCTGCTCCCTTCTCTTCACACCCGCCTCAGCTCTCCCAAATCAGAACTAATCCCTCCTGTCACAGCCAGCCCTGCCCCAACTTGCCTTAGCTGTTCGCACGCTGAGTGGTAACCGGTGGGCCGTCTGTCCCTGCCCGGGTGTCAGTGGCTGTCGTGCGGCTGGACACCGCCTGCCCCGCAGAGGGCCGCTCATACATGCCGTGCGGACGTGCCGCTCTGCCGGCGGGAGGCCGGACATGTCTGTAGCGCGCACCGTGGCGGCCGCTGTGCGTTGGGCGAAAGGTGACTTCTGAGACGTCCAGCTCCAGGGTCTGAGTGCTCTCGCCAGGACGCGTTCACCTCTTCCGATGTCAGTTGGAGCTGGCTGGGGTACGGCTGTGAGCTGCTGGGAGCGTGTGTGGGATCCGATGGACATGAATCCTGGGAGGATTCGTGCCTCTAGGAATGGGCACACCCAGCGCCTCACTTAGGGATTTATTGTGAGAACTTTAAGTTTTACTCTTAGCGAACTTCAACTACAGTACACAGTGTTTGCTCTGAGTTCAGATCACCACGTTTCCCCCGAGATCCTCTGATCTTCCTCATCCTGTCCCTGGACAGCTATTTCCCTTTGACCAACCTCCCCTCCCGCCCACCCCGCCTCAGGCAACCACTTTTCTGCTGTTTCTGTCTGTCGTGTGGACGCTGCTCGGGTCTGCAGGCCCTTCGACCTGTCCCCCGCCCCAGGAGCCTCAGAATAACTGAGCGCCTTCCGTGGGCAAGGACCGTTGCCTGGTGCTCTCTGCACCCTGCTCTCCGGTGTCTCCTGTATTCCCGCCCCATGTTTGATGCGATTTTGAGAAGTCGTGGCTAAAGTCAAAGAACCTAGAGACCTGTCAGGGTTTCCCGCGTCCTCGTGGCTCTCTTGGGAGCTGCCTCTCCCGAAACTGTCATTGTGGCCAGCAGGCTTCCTTGGATTAAGGAGTAATTACACTGCTCAGCTGAAAAGGTTCTTCCAGTCACCGCCCTCCTGTCAGGCGGCCTTTCTTTAACTCCCTGTAACCTGTAATCCCATCTACTGCGTTATCTGTTGTCTCTTATTTTTCCCTCCATGTCCTTCCTGTCTCCCTATATGAAGAGGAAGGAGTGGGTTTTTCTCGTTGACGCCATTTGACTCTCTGTTCCTTCTGTCCTCAGCGTCTTGAACACACACACACATACACCTCGACTGTCCCCTGCAGCCACTTTCTTGCCAACACCCAGTTCCTTGGTTTGGGTCCGGGGTAGGAGCTGAGGAGGCTGAGAGTGCAGATTCGGCCACTGCAGTGTCACTCCCCATGTCATTCTGGCCGTAACTCCTGTGGCCTCACGCAGGAAGCACCGTCCCGGGCCAGGCACCGTCCCGGGCATCGGGTTGGGAGGGGCAGACCTGCTTGAACAGTGACGGACAAAATGTGACCTCTCTCCTCAAGGAGGCCATCACGTCTTAGAGGCGCATTCACATAAAAAGCTGGTTCAGAGTATAACCCGGGCGTGGCACAGCGTGGTCATGGCTGAGGGGGCGTGGCGGCGTGCTGGCGCGGAGGCGGTGCCCATCCCAGCCGCCCAGGCCTCATCTACAAAAGCTTAATCATGTCAGTGAGTGAAGGCTCAGCCGAGCAGTGTGTGTTCTCGGGTACATATTACGTGTTATTATGTGACTGACTTGGTTAATAATAATGGATTTCATCTTTCAGATAAGCCATGGTTTGATTTCAGAAAATGGTACCAAGTGATGAAAAAATCTGTTGACGAAAAACAACACGAACGGGAGGAAGCCAGAGCAAAGTACGTCGCCTCTCTGATCTACATTCACCTGTCTTTGCTCTCAGCCTGCTCCTTTACCTTGGACAGCTGCAGTTTCCTCAGCACAGACTCGTCGACAGCCGGGGCGTTCTCCCTGGAAGTACTAGCCCCAAAGCCTGACTGACTCTGCTTCTGTACGCGACTGCTCACCACCTCGGGTTCCTCTCGAGTCTCTCCCGTTCCCGGCTGTCCTGCGTCTGCTCAGGGTCGGCCCGCGGCCCTGCTGGGCGTGGCGGGTGGCGTCTGCAGCGCCCGTCCTGCCGCAGCGCGGCACCCTTTCTCAAAGCTGGTCCTGGTGTGCTGTGCAAAACGACACCGATCCCAAAGATCAGCCTGTGACTTGGTGATTGGGATGTCCTCCCAAGATAAATAGCCCTACGAAAACCAAATCAAAGGCAAACAAAGTATAGTTAACTCAGTCGTCCCCACCTGCACTGTCCCTCCGCAAGGCCGCCGGTAGAGAGGACAGGCGTAGCTTCCGGGACACCGGGGCTGACACCAGGTCGCGTGAGACTAGCTGTGTGGCCGCACGGGTGACTTCGCCTCTTAGCCTCAGCACCCCCAAATTCAGTTCACTCATGAGCGTTCAGACACCACCTACATAGTGAGCAGAGAGCATTTCCATCGATCTCTGCTTAGAAGAGTTTCATATCCTAGAATTTTGCGTCTATGAGACCCTGAAGAAAAAGTTAATTTATTTTATGTAAATTTACAGTCATACTCATTTGATTGTGTAATTTTATATCCTTTGAGAAAAATCAAGGTTCCTCAAATTAATTAAAGTGATAGTTTGTTCAACATCAGTTTTCTCACCATAAAATAGGGGTAATAACACGTATCTATATATTCAAAGTGAACTTCTGTATCACAGGTAGAACTAGATTATTTTTCCTCTAAATTTAAGAGAACTTTTTTTTAACACTTTTCTTTAAAGATTTATTGACTTATGCATACAGAACTGGGGTGCAGGCCAAAGGTGCAGAGGTGGTGAGAGGACTCACTGGAGACAGAGTGGGGAACGGAACAGGCAGATCAGCGAGGTACGCTGCTGAGGGGAGCCGCGGGCGAGACAGGCGATGTCTGCCGCATCCTGTGGGTCACCTCCGGGCCGGGGAATGAGCTTGCGTGGAAGCAGCTGCGGCCAGCTAGCAGTGCTGCGTCCTGACCCATTGCGCCACCAGAGAGGGCCCAATTTAAGAGAACTTTTAAATAGAGAACAGATTTGCAGAGTGACTGAAGGGGGAGAAGCATGACACCATGGCCCGCCACTCGGGTTTGAGCCACAACGGCCAGAAGAGGGACCCGCTCTGACAGCCCAGGCCTGGACTCTGCCTTCCCCTGTCCAAGAGGGACCGTCACTTCAGTCAGGGGCCTCACTGGGCTTAGGAGTGGTGTCAAGCAGAAGTTGGTTCTGTTGCCGTAGGTTGTCTGAGAATCATCGGGCCTCCCCGTGTGGTGCCGGCCAGGGTCATCCTGACGGGGAGCAATAGGCCAGCAGTCAGACACTCAGGTGCCTCAGAGATGACTAATCGTTCATTAGCTGACCCAGGCGCCAGCTGCCACCTTCAACACAGCTAGCAGAGCCCACGTTCACGCTGTAGTGCTACATCAGCTGACGGCGGAGACTGACTTTCAGCTGCCTCGGGAGCATGTAGTCACTAAAGAAAATGTCTGATTTCAAAACACCCGGCCCCAGGGAGGAGACTGTCCAGGGATCCATGACCAAGTTCCTGCTTCATAGTGTGCTTTTCAGCAGTGAATAAATGGCTGCTGGCAAGTGCTTAAGCACCAAGCTCCTGTGACAGCAGAGTTGTCTCTACCCCACCCCCGCTGGGAGAGCAGCTCCAGACCACGTTGCTAGATGAAGTCGTTGAAGCGCTTCCTGTAACTGGGCAAGGCCCCTGAGCACGAGGCTTTGAAAAACTAGTAAACACTGCCTGAAAACTGCAACAGCCCGCAAGACTCCACTTCCTGTCGTCCCGGGTGATGCTAAGGAGAACGTGGAGGAATCATTTAGAGCATGTGCAGGAAATCGCGGTGCCCTTTTGCATTAGGTAAAAAGTTTGGTGAGAGAATACCAAAAGCATGGCCAATGAAGAAAAAAATAAACTTCATCAGAGTTTCTGCCCTTCGTAAGCTGCTTTGAAGAAGAGGCCACAGACTCGGAGAAAATCTGTGCGTCATATTTCTGATAAAAGGTTCCCTCCGAGGATGTAGAAAGAGCTCTCGTGCAATCAGATGCACTGGCCCGAGCCTTGAAAGGCCGCCTCGCCCGAGACAGACGAGCCCGGCTCGCGGGCAGCTGGTGGGAGGCGCGAAGCGGCCCGGCCTCCACGCCAGGCCAGGCTGAAGCAGACGGGCGCAGCCTGGCAGCCTCTCCCCAGCATGAGCACGTGCTTACTCTGCAGCCAGCACTTTCCAGCACTTTCCAGCACTTTCCAGCACTTCCCACTGCCGCGCACCTGAGACGAGACAGCGCGTTCACGTCTGTGAACAGTCAAGTGCTGAGTGATTTAGCCACATCTTTTTGAAACCCTTGAAAAGCCATCAATTCTGAAATGGTTGAAATGGCCACGTGTTTACCTTTGATGTGCATTAAAAGAGAAGGGTGAAAAATTACCAATCATGCTTTAAAAAAAATTTGTATTTCTGCCTTTCTGTTCACCAACTACTTTTGCAGAAAGTTTCCCACTCTGCTTGGCGTCTCCTAGCGGGCGCTTTGTCCCGCGGCCACCCGGGGTCCCCACGCCCACCGCCTGGCCTTCCTCGGCCAGGGTCAGCTGAGTCAGCGCAGGGCCTGTTACGGCTGCATCGCCCTGAACCCAGCCGTTTCTTCTCTTCCTGACAGACACAGGGTTCCTTTCCGGGCATCAGGCGGCAGAAGGCTGGCGCTCGCTCACTTTGTGTGACTGCAGTGAGATCCTCAGCGAGAGGGCGGCCGGGCAAGGCAAGGAGGAAGAGTTGTTTCTTACGTGGTTTCGCTATATGAGAACAGACAGCAAAGGAATTTTCTGGCCAGGGAAGCCACGTCTGTGTTTTTTACAATGAACAGCTTCTCCGGGAGCTGATGGCGCCGGAGACTCCGGGCCACCTCGCTCCTACCTTCAGGCCCCTCGCTGGCTTCCCGGCCGGAGCCGCGTGGAGCCGCGCACTTGGGGCCGAGGCCTGCGCCACCCACGAGGGGCGTCGCTGACGTCAGCGCCCCTCGTCTCCCTTCCGCCTCAGCGACTTCTCTGCCTCACGCAGGTACCTGTGGAAGAGCGAGAAGCCCCTCTACTACTCGGCCATCGACAAGTCCGTCGTGTACAAACGGAGAGGTGAGTCGCGTTTTCACTCGCTGAGGACAGCTAGCACAGAGCTGTGGTGTGAGAGTGAGTGCGTGTGTCACTCGTCACCGCGGCGGCCGCTGTCCCGGGCACAGCCCAAGCTCCCACCGCTGTCTGGGAGCCGCCGGTGCTCGGCGCACCCGGGCCCGTCTGCATGCTGCCTCTCTGATGTCCACAGCTCCGTTTGGAAAGTTCCCTCTAGGTTACCGTGTTCCTTCTTTGTAAAAAAGCTGGTAAAATACTCAAAACACCAAATCCACCACTTTAAGCCTTCCTGCGGCTCTGCCCGATGCCGCCCTCGCTGCTGCCAGGGCCGCCCTGAGGAGCCAGCCTCGGCGCCGGGCTCGCCTCCTGGCTTGAGGTTAGTTTTTATCTTGTTCCCTCCCTTTTCCTCTACTTCCAGAAATGGTGGTGAATCTCCAGAAACAGTTTAGCACACTGGCCGATTCAGCACCAGCTGGTGAAAAACAAAGCCCTTCGAGTTTTCAGTTCAACTGGCGTGGAGAAGAGCCTGGCAAAGTCTGTTTCCACGGACACAGCCTCCAGGGAGTCCTGAAGCAGAAAGGCCAGTCGCTGACGACCAAGAATCCGCTGTACTGGCTTAGCACACAGAAGTTCTGTAAAAGGTGTGTGCCGCCTCTCGGCCTGAATAGCAGGAGCTGCTGGTTTTGAAAAGTCGCATATACTTTAAAGGGTTTCTCCTTAAACCTCGACCAGGCCACTGGCTGGAATCAGGTAGCGCACTGATAATCCAAAGAAACAGAATTGGACATGAGTTTTGTTTAAGAGTCTCAGAGATGGGCGTGTGGAGGGACCTTATCGTGATAATCATGTCACAGTATTTGCACGTTCAGTCACCCCATGGTGCTCCTAAAACTTGTTATGTGTCAGACCTACCGCAGCGAAGCTGGGAGAGAGCTGTAGGTCACAAAGACTTGGCCAGAGGGACGTTGTGTTCTTTCTGCCCTGTATGACCGTGTGAAGAAAAAAATCCACAAAAAACCAATAGTAATTCCCTGATGTCCAAACATGCAGTGTATAGACTTTCTCGGTTGTCATCTCATTTGCCAAGTGACTTAGAATCTTCCTAAGGTCATACAGTGCAAATGGTGGTGCCGCCCCCAGAGTTTTAGTGCCCCGCCCCGCTTCTTTCCATACCCCCCACCCCCGCTTCTC